AATCAATGCATAAATCATTTGAAATGGCTGAACCATATAAATCAATCCTAAAAAATACTTGATTATTGAAAAAAATATATATATATTCACAAAACTCTATTGTGAAAAGAAAATACATACATTTGTTGAATGTCAATAAGGTTTTACTTTTTCACAATTTTCCAATATTTTTAGACTTAAAAGTTTTTGTATGTTTAACATTTGCTAGCAGTTTGACTCAATAGGGAGACAAGTTGGATTCTGGAGTTAGAAAATATATTTTCTTATATTTTTAATAAAATATTGAAGGATACTTGTTATTTGATTTTTGTATCACTCTACCTTCATTTCATGAAATGTTATTTTCTATGAATATGTGTTTCCTTATAGTATCCATAAATGATAATGTTTACAACATGCATGACCCATTCAAATGACATTCTAAATGGTCATATTTGATTTGATAATGAAATAAACTCATTACAATAATCCACTTCTACACACTGCCAATGCACCTTTACATCCATCTCAACATTCATCCTCTATTGACAAATTGCAAGATATGCATACTTACATGATTCGTGAACATAATTTGGTTGTTTTAAATAATCTTAGTGTAAGGAAATCTACAAAAATTTCCAATCCACCATTATATCCTAAAAGATTACCATTACATTCAAGTTACAAAATCTTTGACAAATTTAGTTATATATGTCTCTCTTTTTTTACCATGTTGATGTTGCCACAAGAGTTCTCATACTATATCTCTAGTTTTGTCCAACTCTTAAACTTTTCTTCCCCTTGCATTCTGCAATTTCAAACCTTTTGTAACTCTAATTGGGCAACTTGCCCTGACACTAGGCGTTCTATTATTGGATATTGCATATTTCTTGAAAGTTCTTTAATTTTTTAGAAGTCAAAGAAGCAACCAACTATGTGAAAATCCTCATCTCAGGCTGAATATTGAGCAATGACAATCACTGTTTGTGAACTCTTCTAACTCACATATTTGTTCTCATGCCATACTTTACATTAATAGCCAATCAGCTTGCCATATTACCTCCAATTCATCATTTTTTCAAGCAAACCATACACAAATATAATTGGCGGATCCAGGATATTTTTAAGATGGTGCAAGAAAAATGTTGATTACAAAAATTAAGTGTTAATAAAAAAATTAAACTTCTGCAAATTACAAGTATTATGTATGTTTTTAATTTTACGAATGAATTATTTAATATTATCAATACACATATATAATATAACTTTAATAAATATAATACCTCCTTTTCTCCTTTTGTATATAAATAAAATGCCATACTTTTTTATACATGTAATTCAATTAAACACATACTTTTGTATGGTAATTAAGTATTCAGAGTTAAAATTTTAAAGCAATTATATATATATATATATATATATATATATATATATATATATATATATATATATATATATATATATATATATATATATATATATATATATATATATATATATATATATATTTATAATTGTTTTGTATAATGTTTTTAAGAAAAAAGAAATACATTTAATTTAATGACATCTTTGAATAATGTCAATAAAGATTTTTAACTTTTTTTGAGATTGATAGATGAATGCATGCAATTATAATGGAACGATAGTGTGCATACTCATGTTGAGCGGAGAATTGTTTAGAACTTCGACACTATTTTCAACGAAGCACAAGGGTGCATGCATGTAATAGTTCTGGAACTATTTGTCACTATGTGCCTATGAGCTTCAGAGATAGAGTATATTCTTTAAACATAGAGTTGAGTGTTTGTGCATCCAATGATTTTGAGAGGTATATGCTTCGGTGGTAATTTCGTTAAGTAAAAAAAAATAACTTAATAAACAATTAAGATAATTAGAGAAAAATATCATGAACTTTTTGAAAGATAAAATGTCACTTCAAAATCAAGGTATCAAGAACCAGCAATTAAATTATATAATCCAAAAGCAAAATCAATATGTGAGTATTGTTTAGGTTACACTTGTTTATTTCAACTGGAATTTGCGAACCAAACCATATATAAAGTAAGCCAATAAAATTAATGTAATTTTATGTTTTAAGTTCATTGGCATTAATTATGTCATAGGAAGACACTACAAAAAAAGAAATAAAAAATACAATGAGGAAACTACCTATATATATATATATATATATATATATATATATATATATATATATATATATATATATATATATATATATATATATATATATATATATATATATATATATATATAGGTTAATTTAAATCAGTAAATATCTTAAAGCTTAAACTTAAAAGAAAAAAATGAAACCTAAGTTAATAATAAAATAAAAGTTTAATTATTATAGACGGGTAAAATGTTATATTTGATAAATTGTTAAAATTAATTAATCATGTGAAATAGAGATTAATTAATACAACTTTATGAATCATATAATGAAGTATCATGAACTTATGGAAAAGAGGGATTGAACATTATTTAAAAAACAAACTCAAGTTATTGAAAATCATTTTGGTTTTACATCTAATAGATCGACCATGCAAGCAATATATCTACACATTGTATGATGGAGCATATGCAAGTGATATATCTCTCGAAAGATTGATAAGGCATGCACTTAATTTTTATTGACTTGGAGAATGTGTATGATAGAATGCTTCTAAAGAGATTTTGAGAAAAATTCCTAAAGAAGAAAAAGTTTTGGGTTACATATATTAGATTATCGAAGATATGTATGAAGGGGTATTAACTCGTGTGCATTCCCAAACAAACATTCTTTTCATTGCAATAGGTTTGCATTAGGTTTAACTATATACCCCTTTTTTACCTTAATTTTCCATGTATTTACATAACACATTCAAGAGCTAGCACTGAATTGCATGCTTTTTGCAAATGATATAGTCTTACTTAAAGAGTTGAATGAGGATTTAAATGAAAGGTTGAAGACTTAGAGACAAGCTTTAGAAACACATAATTTTCACCTAAAAAAAGTAAGATGGAATATATGGAATGCAAGTTTAACTAAAGAAAAATGCTTTTAACATAAAGATGAAAGTTGGAGATCATATCATCTCGTAATATAAAATGATGGAGAAATAGAAAGGAGCGTAAACCATCAAATTTAAGTTGGGTGGCTGAAATGAAAAACGGCTTCATGTCTTTTATGTGACGCAAAGACACCACTCAAGCTAAAGGAAACAATTTACCGGACTGCAGTGAGACCTGCAATCCTATACGACTATTGTACAGTTGAAAATTAACAAGAAAATAAAATATAACGGCGATGAGAATGTTGTATTGAATATGTGATAAGACTACTTAAATAATTTGAACATGTAAAGAAAAGACATAAATCATATAACAAAAAAAATCAAATAGAGAGAAATCCAACAATTAAAGAAAAAGAACAACTACAAAGATTACAAGAGAAGAGAAGTAATTAAAAAAAGATTACAAGATTAACAATTTAGATAAAAAAGTTGATCTTAAATAAAATATTATACTAAAAATTGCTCCATATAGGTGACTCACTAAGAGCATCCACATCCATCATATTCATTTGGGTTCTTTAAATGAGACCCACATAATTTTTTATATTATTTCACATTTCTCAATTTTTTAAGCAACTCATCTACAATTCTCAAATATCCATCTAACTCATCAAAAAATTTAAAACGGATCCCACTACACTCCACAAAATCCACTCATATAACTATTTTCAACTGAAATGTAATATTTTAATATTACTTATATAGAAAGAGAGTGTAGAAGCGTTCCCACATAAACCGACTGCAAATGAAAGAACGCTTTTTTCTCTCAAATACCCATTTTATTCTGACATCATAACTTAAAAAATTGTGTAGAAACGACATACATGCACCGATAATCATGCTCTAAGACCCACTTGGTGAGATATGGTTTAAAAGCTGTTGTAATATTAACACAATTGTATTAATACTGTATATACACAACATACTATAAATTTTCAAAAATACAATCTCTTAAATTCCTTGAAAAAGATTAAAAAGTTTTATATTCTACCAAAAATAAATTACAAAATGAATTTGAACCCCAAACCTTTTTCACCAAGACAGTGGCATTATGTGCTCTTATCTCGAGGCTGAATAAAAGGAAAAAATAAGTGATTTTCAGGGAATATAGAATCGTGTCTCATTACAATTTACACGTCATCTTTCATCCAACAGTATGCTAAAATTTTGAACCAAACTTCCTTTTAATTTTTGGCTGAGAAAACCAATTTTCACCTTAAGAAATCCACTCAGGGAAGAAATCGTGGCAAAAAGTAATTTTTCCAACTTAAATGTATGCTAAAATTAAGTCAAACACTCTAATCGGTCATGAGTTGTTTATGACAATCTAATCCTTAAAATTGAGGGGTTAAATATATTAACCCTTTAAGTTACCACTAAATCTACAGTTGTACCACCCTTACTTTTATGAGTTACAGGCTATGCTACAAACTAGAAGACAAAAATCCTTCAAAGCTACCTACTAGAGGATGTTGCTACAAAAATGACCCTTTGACACGAAACATAGCCACAAAGAGTAAACGTTATCATGTAAAAAGCGCACAACATAGAGGCAAAGTAAAAGATGGGAGGAAAAAAATGCCTCCTTTGAGAGAAAAAGAAACACGCTGGCTCACTTTACTCATTCATGTGTACCACACAAGATGAAATCCAAAAGAGACTCTACCTTCCTCAACACATTACTAATATGTTAAAACACAATACATCATACATATTAAATTAGGAGTTAATACCATACAACAAATGATGTAAGATGATAATCTTTAGCAATTTTATATAAAGAAAGAAGAAAACAAAAGAACAAAAAAAACACTCAGGAACCCATATGTATTTGGCCTGACGGAAGCAGCATAAGTATATAGGGAAAAGCTTCCACAACTGGACAAACAGAAATCACACCACCCATTTAAAGGTTCCACACAATTGACATCATGATTAATACAGACCCTGTCAATATCTCCTCCGAGGAGGACTCCTTGAGCGCCGCTGAGGTGGTCTGCAAAATGTCAAAGTTCCAATGACTCAGATGCTAAATTTCAGAAAAGTTATATGATAAAATTTGATCTAACAGGTAGAAAGTTGGAATGCAAATCGTTGAACGGCAATACAGAAAAATACACCATATCTTAATTTTTCTAACCATTTATAAAAGGAGAGAATTATATGATATCCATTTTAATTTCTAATGAAGCCACACAACAAAGAATTAGGATATGTTTTACAAACGAATAATGTTAGAAACACGCTCCAACACGAACATCTCAAACACACTCTACTATCGGTTGAAATTTATACAGGAACCACCAAATTATGTGAGTCTCGTATAAATTTGGTGGAACCCACATGAATTTTAAAACCAATAGAAAAAAGTGTGTTAGTGATTGTCTTGCTAGCACTACTCAACAAATAATGCTAAGAACATACTATCTAACACACATGTCTCAACATTTTTAAGAAGGGAGTATATGTTGGCCAAACGACATAGAAATAGAAGATGTAAACTATTGGATTCAGAGGTTGAGAGGAAGAAGGGACTCAATTGTTTTATGTGAGAAAACAATACCACTCAAGGAAAAAGGGAAATTTTATCCTAAACTATAAGACCAACAACATTTATTGTATGGGACAAAGTATTGGACGACAAAAACAAACACGAGCAGAAACTAAGTGTAGAAGAGACGAGAATATTGTGTTGGATGTTTGAAAAGACTACAAGGAGTAGGATTAGAGATGATAGAATTAGAGAGAGTCGAGCAACACCTACGGTAGAAAAGATGATAAAATCTCGACTTAGATGGTTTTGATTTTGGACATGTGAAGAAGAGATGTGTAAATTCCGCAGTAAGAATAGTGGATTAGATAAAGGGAAACCCGGCTGCTAGAGGCAAAGGAAGAGCAAAAAAACCATCGGCAAAATTTAAAAAAAATATTTATAGGCCAATGACTTGGCTATAAGCATGAACTCCATGTAGCCAATCCCACCTAGTGAGTTGTTGGGTAAGACTACGATGTTGTAATAGGAAATACCAACTCAAACAAATGATGTTAAACTCAAATAAATGATGTTAAACTCAAATCAACATTGCACTGAACTTAGTTCAAGAATAATGTTGTGAAACAACATACTACCCTATCGACATAAAAACGTACCTGGCATTCTTTCTTTTAACGGACTCATTAATAGGTCCACTGCTGAAAGCCCAATCAACATAAATGGTTTGTGTAAGAAGCTCAGATCCATTCAAATTCTCTATTGCATTTCGAGCTTCCTCAGCACCCTCGTATTCAATCAGTGCATAACCCTAAAATAGAAAAGCTTATTAATATAGAAACCAAAACCTTCACGTGATAGACTGGCAGGTACAAAAATGAACAGAATTTGGTAAGTAAAGCTTCTGAAACTGATATTAAAATATCAATCAGTGCTGTATGAACATAGTAACAGAGAATGCAGAAAATTTACCTAGACAAGGATGGATAAACCCTGTTTACTAAAATACAAGTAGTCTACAAAAGAGAGGCTTAACTTTTCTTAATAAAATAGGATGAGATCAAAGCAGGGAAAGTGGCAAACAAGAATAAAAGCATTGTCATTACAGTATAAAACACAAGAAAAGACAATAACCTACAACAATTACTGGTTAAGAATAATTGTATCTTTCTTCTACTAAACCCTTTAAAGATCAACATTGCATTGAGCAACATCAATTTGAGAAAATATACTATCATGGTATGCAGTCAGGTTATTTTATAAATTTTATATCCATGAGAAACAAATTAACAACTGCCGGCTCCCACAAAGTAACTAACTAAATGTCTGCAGCAAAGCAGAGTTCGAGCCATGACTGAGACTTGAAATGGAAAGCTAAGCCCAATTAACGGTAAATATGAGAGTAAGGTTGAATAGATCAGGAGTATCCAAGTTTGATCCATGTAGCCCCAGTTAGTGGGGGGATAAGACTGAGGCTTGGTTGTTGTTGTTTATTTATATAAATAACTCTAGTTTAAGTTTTATATTTATTAGACATGTAGAGTAATTTTTAGTATTTTTATTTCACTTTAACGTGAAGTTTTCTTTTTTCAATTTGTTTAGGTGTACATTGCTCCTTAGTAATAGTTTAGTCGATAAGGGCTTTTATCATTTACAATCTACTTGCATAGCATGACACGTTAGGAAACAGTTGGCCCATTTTCATTTATCTTAGGCCAGTTACATAGACTCACTAAAATTGAGATCCATTCTCAAACCCTAAAGCTGGAACTTAATCTTCTAAAAAAACGCAAGAAGTTTCTCTACCACCACCACCCTAATGTTTTGATTGTCTGCTGCACCTGCACTTTCTAGCTACATCCTTCATTTCTTCTTATGTCATGTTTCTTATCGTGGTCAATTATGGCAAAAAAATTTATTCTTCCTAATGAACGCAACCTAAAACAGCTATTCAGCCGTGAGTTGCGGCAGTAAGCGCCACAGCTGTTGAACGCAGATAGCAAATAGAATGTGTCACACCATAGGTAGTTTCCACTCAGCGATTCTGCAATTGTGGTGCTATCGCTAACATAGACTATATCGACTTTGAACAACAATCAGCTTGAATCCTGATTCGAGATAATGATTCTAACCCGCATCAATGAATCCATACCAAACTTGAAGATAGTGATTCTAATTCGTATCAATGAATCCATACCAAACTTGGTGCAGCCAGCCAATTTATTTTGTCAACATTGTCTCATGGTTCATTTATGATATATCAACTTATAATTTTGCTTTGCTGTCACATATTTTGACAATGTATCTTACTATCCATAATAAGATTTGATTCAAAATTAAGAAAATAGATCTTCAGATTCACGATTTGATACCATACAAAGTGTAATCTACTAATCATCAAAATGTATCAACAATACAAGGCTTTAACTATTATAAAGTAGCACCATATAGATTAAATATTCCCATTAATCACTTATACTAACATTGGCCCCTCCATATTAAAACATTTTTGAACATCAATTCATGACAAGATAGTAACCATGGAACTAATCAATTTTAACCAATGAGCGCAATGCACGTGAATGAGTATAGAGTGAAAGAGAATCAATAACATACCTTGACAAAACCAGTGCGGCGATCAAGATTCAAGTTAAGGTTCTTAATCTCTCCATATTCACCAAACACATTATGCAAATCATCATCTTGAGCTTCCTCGTGCACACCGGTCACCAAAATAATCCATCCTTCAATGGCTGCATCATCAACATCAACAATTAACAGTAATAACCTAAAACCAAAACCAAAATCAAAAGAAGAAAAAAAGCAATCAAAATGGAAATTGGAAACACTAACATCTCTGAGGTCCAGGACCGCCCTCGGCGGTAAGAGTATCAAAACCAGAACCAGTGAGACGCGAGTTACGGTTAGCGGCGGAATCAGAATCCTGACGGAAACCACGACCTTTCGTCTTTTTGGGAACGGAGAGAGTCGAAGAAGCGGTGATGGCGGATTTGAGTTTAGGATGAGGAGGTGAAGCCTCGGCGTCAGGAGCACCTTCTTCGTCCATCAAGTCATCATCCTCCGGCTCGAAATCCAAAGCTTCTCCGTCGGCGGCGGTTCCTTGCATCTTCGCTGAAACTCGAAAAATGAACGAAAATTAGGTTAGGATTTAGGTTCGGTGGTAATGTTAGGGTTTGTTACTTTGTTTCAATGAAAATTGAAGGGTGCGTTACGAACCTGGTGATGGAAGAATGAGAGTAAGTAAACTCCTAGGGTTCCAAATTCCAACTCTAATTCGTTTGAATTTCAACGAGTAATGTAATACTAATATAATAACTTTTATTAATTGCTATTGATCGATCATAATTCTTGATTTGTTTAAAATATTCATTTTTTATTTTTTATTTTTTAAATAATATATTCAAATGAAATATTTATTTACTATACTTTTAATTATTCTTGTTAAATTATATAAAGTTTCAAATAAACCATTTCAAGGTGTCTTCTAGTTTTTTCTTTTGGTCTTTCAGTCCTTTAGATTTTCTTGTGTAACAATGATCAAAAGAATTTGTCCGTTTGTACAGATCGTGAAAAGTTTATATAAATATTTAATAAATATTATATAATTATAATTTTAAAAATTTTATATAAAAATATATATGAATTAATAAAAAAAATTCAATGATAATTGTTATATAAATATTAATTTAATTTATCAAGTTATATTAGTTGTCAGAATATATATAGATCTAATAATTATTATTAAACTAAATATTAAGTAGAAAAACAGATTTGACTCGTCAGACATGTTTATAATTTTTATAATTACTTATAACTTTAATTTTATAATTTATATTAACAAATATTATAAAATAAAATATATCATACACCAAAAAAACATATTGATTTAATAATAAATTAAAGTTATAATAATTTGATTAGATTTAATTAATTGAATAATATTATGTTTGTTAAATTTGTATAGTAATTAAGAAGTTATAAGATATAATAATTCAGAAGTCATTAAACATATGATCTCTAATATCTGTTAAATTTAAGTAAATATTTTGTCGGCCCGTCGAAAAAAAAAGTTTGGCTCGGGGGACATGTCTATGATTTTTAAATTCTTATATATGGTAAATTTATGGACGTTATTGATATTATATAATTTTATCATCTAATAGAAAATAAATTTAAACACACTTAAGTGTCAAAATTTAAACATATGATTTTGCAACTCTCTTAAATAATAAATTTAACTTTTTAATTTTTTTTTGTAAAAAGACAAGTAAAAGATCAATTATTTATAATATTACACTTTTGTATGTATGTGTCACTGCTACGCATGTTGCATATTTTAATCTTTAACTTTATTAATTATTGACACGTTTTAAACATAATTTTTTCTTTTAAAAAATATATAAATTAGTTTATATTATTTTAGGATGATAAAAAACACATTAATAAATTTTATTTTATTTTTAACTCCTATGAATTGTTTTGACAACATACATAAATAATAATAATAATCAATTAATATTGTTTTATTTTATAATAATAGTTATTGGTTTTGTAATCAATTTAAAAGGTGTAAATTTTTTATTATTAAATACATAAAATCTACTCTTATTTATTTGAATATTGAAACAACAATATTTCATTTCAATCTAAACATGTTTTTTCAACTTATATATTAATAATTTTTGAACGGGTAATTTAATCACCGTAATTCAATATAATTATGCCGTTTATAGTTTTTCAATGTATAGTTTAGTTACATCCAATCTAATTATGCAGTTTTCATTGGTAAATAAAAAGATGAAGATCATGTTGGTAAATGAAAAGACTATTTAAGAGAGTAAATGAAAAGTCAATCTCAATATAACATTAAAAATTGACTTTTAATGAAATTTTTTAACGCAATATTCACTCCAAAACATTTATGTATTCATCTATCGTTATTGTTCCGTATTTTCTTTTATCAAGACAAATATTTATTTATTTATTTTTATATAATTGATAATATTTTATCATAAAAATAATATTAATATTTATTATATAAATTAAAATTTTATATATCATTCAATTTTTTCATCAAACATATGATTTATGTTAGTTAGTTTATTCTTTTAAAGAATATGAAGACAGTGGAACATCTTTTTTATTTTATGTTTTTAATAATTATTCATTTAATAATTTTTTTTTATATGTACTCCCTCCGGTCTTATATGTAAGAAAAAAAAAAACTCACCCTTTAAGAAAGTGGTCATATATTCATTTAAATGGTGAGAAATATGCATTTTTTCCATATTTATCCTTATTTATTAATTTAGAATTTAATTAATAATTTTTTTATAACCATTTAATTATTGGTCATTTTGTTTTTATCGGCTGCAACTAATAAATGTCCACTTTTAAACTATTAAACTTTCTCACTCCACGTACTCTCATTGCAACCAATAAACTCTCACCTCAATGCCTAAATCAAAAGATGGAAATTCATTAGCTATTTGATGTGGGTTTGCCATGTTTAGAGTATAAAAAAAATAGAAGAACAAGACTCATGGTAGACAAAATACTGAATATGAAACATTTATAATAGGATATGGCATTTCAAAAGGCAATGGTAACAAATGCAACGTAAAAGTAAAAATAAATGTTCATTTGGAAACTATAAAAAGTGAAGTTATTAGAGGAATATTTTTGTTTTTGGAAAACTACAATATGAGGGTAAAATTGGAATGAAGAATTTAATTATATCAATGGTAATTAATTTTTGCTTATAATTGAGACTAGTAAATTTTTTTTTGTTGCTTACATATAAGACCGGAGGGAATACCAATTTTCTTATTTTTTGTATCAGAATATCTGATAATATTATTTTCTTATTTCCAGTATCATTTTATAATATCTTATATGATTTATTTTTTATCAAGTAAATGATATTTTAAAAATATATTAAAAAAATCATATTTGATTGAAAACTTTTAGAGAAACAAAATAGCCTAGTTAAAAGATTTTCATTTCTATGTGAAAACAAATTGTAAAAAACAAAATCAAATTAAATTAAATTAATTTATTAATTAATTATTGTTTTAAGAAACACAATTAAAATGAATTTCTTTAAAGTTATTTTGATTTTCTTTAATTAATAATGATGGTTATAAGAAAGAAAGAGATTTACATTATGACTTTTGTAATCATTTATTGGAATTATTTTGGACAACGTTTCAACGATTGGTTTTAGAAGTTTCAACAATACATCAATATTCTTGAAAATAATAATTATGATATAGATATTTTAGATATAATTTACCACTTAAATAAAAAATAATTATAATAATAATAGTAATGATGATAGAATTCATCAAATAATTAAAAAATAGAAATAATAACAGTTAGAAATGAGAAATATGATGCTTTATATAAATACATTTATATACTATATTTAAAAAGTAAATTATTTTGCATTATATAAATAAATATATACCATATTTATAAAGTAAATTATTTTGCATCTCAATAAATTAAAATATAACCTACCAAATAAAAGTATAACTAAAAAACAACATATCAGTAATATTATTTTTCAAATTTAACATAATTTAGTATCCAAATTCATGAGACATTTACATTAAAATTAAAAAAAAAACTGCAAGATAAAAAAAACTGTCAGAAAACTTAGTATCAATATCATTTATTTTTTCAACAATGTTTCCTTCAAAATATTAAAAGTGAAAAAAAATCATCAAAATTTGTTTAAAAAAAAATACATTTTACAACCTAAAAAAATAATTTTTGATGAGATACAAACAAATTTATGTTATAGTTGGATTACAAAATCAATTTTCAAAATGCACTTTATGTCATTGCCAACCTAAAATCTCTTTCACCTATGCAATCAATTTATGTGATGATCGAAATGATTTCAAATGTTAAGTGGAAAAAAAAAACATAATCGAAATGGTTTTAAATATTGAGTGATTAAAAGAATTATGAACTGTTACAAAGGAAGAATAGAGACGATACGGGTCTAGAGATCTCTTTGAATCAGTCAAATAATATTGGGCCTAAATTAACAAAGGAACGAAATAAGCCCAATATCACAAGATCTCAGCGTATAAGAAAATCGAGGAATTAACATCTCACCTCTAAATTATACATGTTATCCTCCACTTTTTTTATTTCAGAATTATTCTTGTTGAGTTATAAACAAATTTTCTGACGAAATTTTTGGTAGAGTTATTAAAATTTCTGATACAAACGAAAGTTCCGGTACACCCCAGCAAAATTTTTGATGTATGTAAATTTTCGGTAATTTATTTGAAATTTTTGGTATTCTGAAAATTTCAAATTTACCAGGCAGTACCAGAAATTTGAATTATACTGAAATTTTCAGTAGTTCGTGTATTCAAGTTTTTTTAGCGGTTAAGATTTTCCCGACATCTTTGGAGAGTTCATATTACATCGATAAATTTGTGTGATCTAGAATGCATTATTATTTATATAAATAGGGGCAGAAGTATATTTCAACAGAAACAACCCTGTTGTTGAATTCAAGCTTCCATATGGCTTCACATCCTTCGACAACTTAAAAGACAAGTTGAATGGTTTGCTTCATAATTTCGATAATAAAAGGGTGACAATGATCGAGTTTCAGGAGGATTGCACTGATACAAATGGATGGGTGAAATACAACCTGGTCGAGTTGAAGAATGATGAAGATGTGAAGGCCATGTGGAAACGTCCAAAATCATCTGGTAGTGCCTAGGTTTTCATGTTTAGTGTTTTTTAATTTCTGTTTGTTGTGCGGTTTTATGTTGTGTTAATTGTCTACTTGAAACATGTAATCGCCAAAATATACAATAAATAAGAAGTATGTGTGTCACAAAAGATACATATAATACAACTAAAATAAAACAGATCTACATAGGCCTTCCACAAGCTACGTCGGCTAACCTAGCTAAACATGTATAGATCTCACCATCAGGGTTTACCAAACCCGTAAGGTTGTCTAAATGAACTGCAATAAACTATGAAATCACTCCAGGTATACATCCTCACACTATGATGGATGTTGAACCACAACTGACGTATCCATGATCTCACATAGAAAGCTGATGATGTGACTCTGAAACCATCTATTAATATCATTAACTGGAGTCTCTGGAACTGGACGGGGGATGCCCTGTACATAACCATATTGGCGTAGACACTTCACAGGCAAATGTCTAGCCACATGGTTCTCCCATCTAATATGTCAGGAATACAAAGTAGATTCCTCAAATGCACGATGAGGCCGATGAGATGTATATGGTGTCCAGACGACATCCTTTATGGTCAAGGCATTGAGCCTTCTCTTATACTCCATCACACCTCTTGGATGGGCTTGCTTGCCTTTCCATCTCCTTGCACATGGAACAGTAGTTGGGACACGCTAGATGTTCCACTCACAGATGTGAGGGAAGTGCTCATATATTCAACAATGCATAAATAAAAACCATCATATAAATATACCCAAATAACTAATAAAAACCATCAAATAAATTATAGTATACTTGTAAATTATATCATGTATGCTCTAGCGGAGACCGGTACCTATGGTCTTCCACTAGCTCCACGTACAATTTCCTCAACCAAGACATTCAAAGGTGAAATCCTCGATTAAAGCCAAACTCCTCTAGCACCTTCGCCTCAGATACCTCCAAAATATACATAATCATGTGCACCGTTGTTGCATGGTTAATATGAGGAGGAGTGAAGAATGTACCAGCGACTGGGATGTAAAAAGGCGTTGACATCATCCAATATGATCGTCATATCCCCAAATAGAAGATGAAAGGATGATGTCCCTAGGTGCCACCGCTCAACAAAAGTAGACAACAGAGAGGCGTCCAATATGGTCAAGGAGCATTGGGCGAACTCCAACAGTTGAAAATCTCTAACAATACTACTAACCTCCTCAGTCATAGGACTCTCTGGGAAGTTCCTCAGCTTCAAACTGTGATAAGCGACCTTCAGCATTGGGTGCTCTTGTAAGAAGAAAAAATAAAATACATCAACTTTCAAACACTATAAAATTATGCAATTAAAGAAAACAAAATATATACATCACCATGCCATATCCTGTAAGTGACATTGTCAACAAATCTTGCCAGCACGAACCTGTTTGAAGGTCCTCCTAGAAAGGCTTCGTCGATGTGAACTGATGGCTCCATAAGCGTGTGATTCATGGTGTCTATATCAGTGGGGTACACCTCGACGACGCACTTAGCAATAACCTCCTCAACCTGCTCTACAATCTCCTCAGTTATCGACTACACAACCTGTTCGGCTGTCCGCCCAGCTGCTGGCTCCACAACAGGCACAACCTCCTTAATATGTTGCTCAACAGCCGACTTAATCATAGGCACAACTACAGGAGCAGGAGTATGTACCTCCTCGGCGGTAGAAACTCTAAGTCCTCGATAGCGGGGTGTACGAAACTGCGTCTACTGCTCAGCCATCTGTTTCCGATAAGAACTGGTCGGAGAGTGACATCCAGCCCGTAGCTCAGAAGCATGTGCCTTGTCAGCTCAGGCCTGAGCTTTCTCTCTATCGGACACCCTACCCATAAAAGAACCATCTTTGCCCCTGGTCCTAACTGAAACATTGAAAAAAATTAGGAAAATATCACTACAAGAAATGTTGAAATTTGCCAGGAGATTTAGCCAGGGGTTAAACCCCTAACAAAAAACAAGGTTGCTTAGGGTAAAGCCCATCGCAATGTGCAAATTATAAAATAAAATAAAAAAAACAAAACAAATTATGTGGGGTTACCCCTCACAAATAGGAAAGAGGGGAAATTTAAATTTTAAAAAGTTGCATTGCGAGGGGTACACTCCTGGGAAATAAAAATAGCGCCAAAGTGCTGCAATTTATTACGGGCCACCCCAAGCTAAATGTCAACGTGACAGTAGTGAGGGGTTGCCCCATGCCAGCTAGACAGATTTAGTCTAGTCATGGCAGTGTGCAAATTGCGCGTGCAATCGGCAGTTTCTAAGGCAAAAGTTACCAACGGGCTACCCCACACATAATTTGACTGTTCTTTTTCTGAGGGGCATCCCCTTGCAAAAACCATTTGTAATTATAACATCGCATCCACTCCACCGCTTCAGTTATATATTAGTTGTTTTAATTTCAACAAACAAAATATCACCTCTTCTTCTCCTCTCTCTATTCTCTCATCCAACCTTCAGAACTCTATCTTCTTCCTCCAAATAAAACCTAAATTTTCAATCACAACGTTAACACAAATAATTTTCCGATAAATATATTAAATTATTTTGTTATGTGTTTAATTTATTTTCAAAGTTAGTTTGTAATATAATTTTTTTTTTATGTATCAATTGGCATATCTAAAAGGAGTTAAATTTTGAAAGAAAACTTCAAACAAACACAACAATTTTTTCATCAATTTTACGTACACATTAAGAAATTTTCATCTTTTTTTTTTTGCATATAATATATTGATAGAGTATATATATATATATATATATATATATATATATATATATATATATATATATATATATATATATATATATATATATATATATATATATATATATATATATATATATATATATATATATATATATATATATATATATATATATATATATATATATATATATATATATATATATATATATATATATATATATATATATATATATATATATATATATATATATATATATATATATATATATATATATATATATATATATATATATATATATATATATATATATATATATATATATATATATATATATATATATATATATATATATATATATATATATATATATATATATATATATATATATATTATATATATATATATATATATATATATATATATATTATATATATATATATATATATATATATATATATATATATAATTTTTTTGGGATATGTATGATTTTTTTTTGGAATATGCATAATTTTCAAAATAATATAGTTTTTAAAACAGTATGTATAGAATATGTATAATTTTATTGAAATATGTATACATGATTTCTAAAAATATATTTTTATACAAATAGTATTTATTTTTTAAAATATGTAAATATTTATGTATAAAACAGTAAATATAATTTCTTGAAATATGTATAACTTTCAAAAAATATAGTTTCTAAAAATTATATATTTTAATATAAATAGTATATTTATTATTTAAATAAATACTTTGTATATTTCTAAAAATAAAAAGAAGATAGTTTATGTTTAAGATTAAAAAATTATTGAAAATTTATTATCAAACAAATATATAATTTATATGTTCAAGAGTAAGAACAAGTAAATATATTTTAATAATAAGTATGTAGTTTGTTTAGGATTAAAAATAATCAAATATTTTTTAAAAATAAATATACAGTTTATATATGTTTAGGATTAAATATATTTAAGATAATAAATATACGTTTAGAACTAAAAAATATATGGATATAAAAACATCATAGTATTTTTAGAAAAAATGAAGTAAATATATTTTAAAAGTATATATATTTTATATATTTGTAGAATTATATGTTTATTTAAAAAAAATATGTGTACTATATATTTTTAAAATTAGGTAGATATATTGTAAAAATATATGTTTAATTAGAGTAAATATTTAGAATAATTGAATAGTAATATATAATTTATTTTAGAGTAAGTATATGTTTAACTAGAGTAAATATATGTTTAATTTTATATATAATTAGATATATGATATTATCGATAAAATTTTAAAAATTTCTCGATAGATCACTCCTTATTTTTTAAAATAAAATTAAACCTGAACATGTGCAGTATGGAATATTATCAATTTTATTGTAGTTGGATATATGATAGATCGTTTTCTGAAAGACATGAGCTTAAACTGCATTTTAAGGAAGGAGTTGTCGGGTTTCTCTCGTATGCGTTTGGTCAAGAATGTTGTCAAAGCGAAGAAGGGGTAAGATGTCCGTGTTTAAAGTATGGTTGCAAAAATATTATTAGTGACCCTAGTGAAGTGAAACGTCACTTGTAGAGAGTGGGTTTTAGACCAAATTACTAGGTTTGGACATCTAATGGGAGAAAATGTCTGAGATGAATAGAGAGGCTTCTAGCAGTCAAACACGTGTTGGACCATATACAAATAGAGATAATCCAGGGAGTCCATCACATATGTAATGTCAGAAACAATTCAGTCTAGTCGAGGATATGGTCAGTGATGCATTAGGGGTGAATGTGGCTTATAATGAACCTCAAGACTTTGACGCAAAAGAGCTCCCGAATGAGAAAGCACAAAAGTTTTATCAGTTGTTGAAAGAAATAAATATACCATTGTTTAAGGGGTCTTCTGACTCTAGGCTATCAATGTGTGTTAGGCTTTTGGCTGCAAAGTCAAATTGTAATGTTTCTGATCAGTGTTTGGAATTCTTTGTGAGAATGATGTTGGACGCGACTCTTGTGAAAGAAAACATACCTACAAGTTATTATGATGCAAAGTGGATAGTGTCGAAGTTGGGACTAGAAGTAAAAAAGATTGATTGTTGCATTGGAGGTTGTGAGTTGTTTTATGATAATGAGTTTGGTTCAAATGATGGGGAATTAGAGGAATGTGAGTTTTGTAATAGTCTGAGGTATTTAGTTCACAGTAAAGGAGCTGATCGGAAGCAAAAATGAGTTGTAGTGAAATCCATGTTCTATCTACCAATATTACCTAGGTTGCAAAGAATGTTTTCATCAATGCACATCGCAGGCCAAATGACATGGCACCATACAAACATAATTAGTTATGGCATGATGCTACATCAATTTGATGGCGAGGCATGGAAAGACTTTGATATAGTTCATCTTGAATTTGCAGCAGAACCCAGGAATGTCAAACTTGGGTTATGCTTAGATGGTTTCACTCCTTATAATTTGTCAGCAAATGCATATTCTTGTTGGTCAGTTATTGTTACCCCGTACAATCTCCCTCATGAGATGTGTATGACGAAACCTTACATGTTTTTGACATGTATTATTCCAGAGCCGTCGAGTCCAAAGGCAGGAATGGATGTTTATTTGCAACCTTTAATTGATGATCTCAAGAGGTTGTGGGTGGAAGAGTGGACTTATGATGTGTCTCATAAATGAAACTTTAATATGCGAGCTGCTTTGATGTGGATAATCAACGATTTTCCTGCATATGGCATGTTGTTTGTATGAGGTACGCATGGAAAAATAGGATGTCAATATTGCATGGAGCATACAAAAGCGTTTACTTTGGATAAGGGTGGGAAAAGTTTGTGGTTTGACTGTCACTATAGGTTCTTACCTGCAAACCATGAATTTAGAAGAAAATAGTTCTTTTAAAAAAGGAAAAAAAAGTAACATATGTACTTCCCCCTCGATTGTTATCGATTGAAGTATGGAATAATGTTTGTGACCTACCAAAATTCACAGATAATGGTGAAGCACGCAGAATTCAAGGATATGGGGATTCTCACAATTGGAAAACAAGAAGTATTTTTTAGGATCTCCCATATTGGAAGGATAATTTGTTGTGACATAATCTTGATCTTATGCATATCAAGAAGAATTTTTTTGATAATATATTTAACACAGTGATGGATAATGAGAAGACGAAAGATAATGAGAAGGCTAGAAAAGACATGAAACTTTTGTGTAATCTAAAAGAATTAGAGTTGAAACCTCGACCAAATGGAAAATTATTAAAACCCAAAGCTTGTTACACTCTTACTCCCAAAGAAGCAAAAGCAGTTTGTCGATGGTTAAATGATTTGAGGATGCCTGATGGTTATTCTTCTAACTTGGCAAGATGCGTTGACGCCTCAACAGGGAAGATGCATGGAATGAAAAGTCACAATTGTCATGTTTTCATGGAACGATTGCTTCCAATTTCATTCAGTTCACTTCCTAAGAATGTGCTTAATCCACTAACTGATATTAGTCAATTTTTTAGAGACATTTTTGCATCAACTTTAAGAGTAGATGACATCATCAAACTGGACTAAAATATTCCTATCATTCTCTATAAGTTGGAGCAAATCTTTTTGCCGTGTTTCTTTGATTCTATGGATCATCTCCTTGTGCATATTGCTTATGAAGCTTTCCTAGGTGGACCTGTTCAATATAGATGGATGTATCCATTTGAACGATTCATGGGTGATTCAAAGCGATCAATGAAAAA